AAGAGTGTTCTGATTTCTCGTTAGTTTCTTGCCGGTGCATGTTCCTAATTTAGGGGGCAGGATTAACCTGGATACTCCTCTCCTGCCTTCAGTCCTCTTCTTCCGTTTTAAGTTTCGCAACGATTTTAACATTCAGAATAGCCCCCAAGCTATACTAGCCCTCTGCAGACTCTTGACATCCTATCAAATATGTTGTGCAACAAATGGTGCCCACGTTTCTTTACGCCTAGTAGCTGGCATGCTGACCGCCTATAGTAACTTCGTAACTGGCATGTTGCTGTGTTGTCTGCATTTAATGATAACAACGTAACAGAGCCACGCCTTAACCACTGAATACTCAAGTTCTGTAGGGCAATTGTTCTAGAATTTCTGTTGAGGATCTCCTAAAGTAAGTTCTATAATCACGTACATTACTCCTCCCAGCCGCCAGTACGTGATCTGACTCACTACGTGATACTCAGCCATGTCTACCCAGTACGTGTAATTCCGCTCCCGAACCACTGATAGAAATTTCGGAGAGCGGCGCTGTAACACGATCCAATGGTTGAGTGTTACGACTTACGAGTGACATTTCTGTAGAGATAAACCCCGTCTAATATCATAGACAACGCTTAGAGAAACATAGAGGTGTTACGGCTGTCATTTTCTTTGAAAAACACACGTCTAGGAAAAATGGAAATTGTGACTTTTCCCCCATAGTGACACATAACACAATGGAATAGTTGAGCGAGATGGGATACCGAGCAAGTTCTCATTACCAATTGAGACGTACCACGACCCGGATCACTCTGACAATACTCCGCATATTGGCATTACAATAGCTGCACAATTTCTCTTCGTTATTTTGTGGAAAGCAGGTGTAGCCATTGTGGCTGAATTGCTTGAAAATTGCGAAATAGCAATTGCAGCTGGAATCTGGATGCCAGAGTGCGCTGTCATAGTTTGGGTGATGTGTGTGCTATTTGCAAGTCATGATGATGCGCTGAGTGCACTGTGTGCGCTGTGCACGCACACTTTCAGTCACTTGCACTGAATGCACTTTCTACTGTAATGATCTCCTACATCACGTGACTTTGATCTCCTACACCACGTGACTTTTATTGAGGTGTTTGTGGTCTGAATGGCATTGTCTTGCAGCGTGGTCAGTACTGTGTAAATATAACAACTGTGATATATATTTATACATTATTTGTAGCAACAATCCACCCGCAACTCCTTGGTGTTCGATATTTTTGATTTTCCCTGAGCTTGTTTTTGTCATTGTGTGTTTATAACCGGATAGGTCTGTTCACCACACATTACCCCCGCGGGAGTTCTGTACTCAATAGTCTCCCTGGTCACGGAGTGAGACTTCAGTTGTAACTTACCCGTTGTTAAAACGTGGTTGTTCTTTTGAGGAGGGTAAAAACCGACCCCGCCCGCTGCTCTATGATCTGTCTTTGATGCAAGCTCTGGACCTGCAGGGAGGAGGATGAGAGAGGAGGAGAGAGAACACGTGGAGTTGCTTACTTTTGTGTAGTTGTGGTTGTCTCTCTCACTTCTCCTCTTCTTCTTGTCTCCCCTCGCTCTTCTGAAACACGTCCCAGTATTATCGGCTAGAAATACTGTCTTTAATGGCTTTACTGTCAGCAATGACGTACCGTGGGAAATGTAACAAATTTTGCTTTCTTACAGCTCTTTTTTACGCTTTTTAAACCTGCCTTTTTGTTGAATAGCCGTTTTGTTGTGCTGTGGCCGGGTTACATGGTCAATTGTCTCTTGTTCGTTTGAAATATAGCTCCGAACACAATGAGTGCCCACATCAGTTGAAAGCCTCTCGCTTATAGTTGGTCTTTGCTCTGCAGCCAGGCTATTGTTCAAAAGAAATGACTAAGAACAGTATGCGTTGTTTTTATCACTAAAAAGTAAACGTTACATTGTTTACTGAATGGTATTTCTGACGAACGAAGTGTTCAGATATTCGAGTTGAGTAGTCAGGTATTTGGAAGCTTAGCCAGAGTCTGCAAATCCTGCAGCATAGTGCACGAAATGGTAATAATGCTAGGAAATCGCCGAAACGGCAAACATTCAGCGTTATTCTACCTCCTAAAAAATGTAGCAGCTGGCAGCACGCCAAACTATTCCATCTCACAGCAGTAAGATCCTTCTCGGATACTAGCTATTAATTTCTCTCCAGATCTAAAAGTTTTGTGTCACAAGAAGATATTGCTCCTTTTTTGTGAAGATTAATGTCCCCGAACCTGAGGGTTCTTTTGTTTGTCCCGATGGTTGAAGGCTGGCTGAACGGAGTAAATACGGCTAATCTGGCATCCCTTCCCGGAAACGGTGCAGCTCGTAAGCCCTCGTAAGCCTGTAATGTTCTAACGAGAGATAGGGGCTCGGACGTTCTGCCTAACATTAGGTCTCCCGTTTTTTTGGTAGCATTTGTATGCTAGGTTGCTCTCCAGAATTCCATCCGATTATTAGGTTTGATTTGGCGAGTTGTTGTTATTTTTCCAAGTATCTTATCTCTTTGTCACTGGACAGACACTGGCACTGAAAGCACGGTCCATGACATCTAAATCCGGCCCCGTCTGAAACCCTAGACTTGGAATATGTCCAGAACCATCATATCTCCGAGATACTCTCCAACAACAGATGTTCTGCTCCATCTCTAATCCAATGAGGTTCCAGACCCTTGTTTGGGCGTGTTTGAGGGTACAACCACTTTGATATCTCCTTCCAGACGTGATTAGATTTTACAGGGCACGCTCCCAGGATCCGCTCAAAGGCGACCGAGGTCGGACGGGTAGATTAGCACCTGACTCGGAGAGACATCCTGCTAAAAATAGGACCCCGAACTCTGCCAGCTGGGCTATTTAAAGCATCAATGACCTAGTAGCCGATTTAAATCGGCTTGATCCAGTCGAATTCAGATCAGTTGGATGACGGGTTCAGGGTGTTTGGTTTCCAGTGACAGGAAGTTTGTGAGATCGTCCAGGGCCTAGGGTCGCCAACCTCTGCTCTCCAGAGGTTACAACCTGTTACCTCCTCTACTCTGCATAATCTCTCATTTTGGATCAGTGGGATTTTGTTTTCTTCTTCTATAGTTGGTGTATATATATACAGTATAGTTGGTATGATTCATGAGCACCTTCCGCGATGTGACCTAATTTTGTCGGATTGATCGTGATTTAACGATTTTCTGCATCCGCAATGTACCTCTTTTTAATTTGTGGGCCCGGTATAACTGAGAATTACGTAAGCGATATCCTGTAATTCCTCCTGGCGTACTTTAATAATTTTTGCATCCTCTTAAGCGGCAATATGTTTCGAATGGCGTTTTTCTAACTTTGATTACCTTATATAAATAATGAAACCGCAACATCTTTAACTTTGACTTCATATTTGATTAACTTTCGTTTTATTTTCAATGATCTAGTTTTATAAGCGCAGGTCCTTTGCTTCGATGTCTTAGTTGGGTTGCGTTTGTAAACGTGTACACTGTAAAAGTGCACGGGTATTCCGTACAAGTGTTTATTAAGTGTGTATTAATAGTCACACCATTGTGATGATTCTAAGAAATTCTTATAAAGAATTTCCATAGGAAAACCTATTTATTCTCGAACAAACGGAATTATTTTCTTGATAATTTGACAGAGAAACCATTATTTACCTTGTAATCCGTGTAGTTAGATGAGATACTAGACGATGCGATAACACAAACCTGCTACATTCATGCTTTTTAGAAATGTAAGTGTGGGGATGTCACGTGCGTTGTCACGTGCGTAGTCATGTGACTTATCATCCATATTTTACATCTGATTTTTTCTATCATGTCAGCATTTTCCTGACGCACTACTCACAACCCAAATGTGAGGTGCTTTTTCCGCGCTCATTATGCGTCAAGCAAACAAAATTACTCTTCGAATTAGTCGGGCGCAACGAAAAAAACTCGTACTTGTAATTCAAACATAGGACTGATCGAAGGGGGGAAATTTCAAATTTCAGCTTATTTGTAATTATATGAATTAATAAGTTGAAAAACGCGTCCGCCAATATTGTGCTGGTTGCATTCCGTCATTTGTGTGGCTTTGTGGTGGGAGACAATCATACGACAGTCAACGGCAGCACCAAAATAATTAACAAGTAATTAATAATTACCTCGTGCGGCTATTAATAGTAACAGGGAACAGCACGGCTCAATTATCACCCTCAATAAATAGTTTTCAGCGTGTTGAACAGGGTTCCTTTTTTTGTATTTTTTATCATTGGTTTTTTTTTGTTGGATTTTGTTTTTTTTTGTGATTGATTAATTAACCGTGTTTGGTATTATTTGTTGGAATTGTTTGTGTTATAAGTAAAATAATAATGGTAAGCAAGATGCATGGAATTCTTTAAGAATCTTTAGGATGTGGCCGGGACCTTAAAAATGTTTCATATTCACGTGTGGGGTATATTTGGTGCCATCCAGCGGCTTAGCACGGCGTTTAGTTAAGAGTTAATACTTTAATAGGTTTGTTATGGTCCTGCACGAGATGAGAAATATTTAGCCTTGAATAAATGTGATATTTTGTAGAAAATGGGGAGTGGTTGAGTCGCTATGAATGCTATTAAACGTGATGATGATTGATGGCGTATATGTGACAGATTTTTTGTGTCGTAACTTTTTATTTGCGGTTATTTCGTTTTCGTTCAGTGTTTTTTTCATCACAAAGTGATGAACTTTGGATCTCCGAAGATTGCGAATAATTTTGAAATGTTTTTCTTACCTTGAAGTGATAAAATGGTAAACATTGAGGTAGTTGTAAAATTTTGGAAACATTTGCCTGGCTTCACGCGAATTCATATAAATATAACAGTGTAACTCACAATTCACACATTTATTTCTATATTCGATTCAATTGATAAACTTTCAGATTTCAATAATGATCAAGTAACTAGTTTTCAAACCAGCAAATAATTAAATTTTTAACTTACATTATGTTAAATTAAATAAACTAACACATCAATTATTTCAGATTGGTATTTTTATTATAATTGGTAACTACGTTGCTTTGGTTACTCTACTCGCGTTACCAGTCCACGCCAAGTCCATACGATCTGTAGAAGGTAAGTCAACTTAATTTTGTTGATTACTATTCTAAAATTTTCCTTATTATTCTACGACATTATTTTAAGATTTAATGTGATATTATAGCTTGCACTGTCTACAGTACTAAAAATTAGCAGATATAAAACGTCCACACTTCCAATTTACAATTCCGCCACCTAGAAACTTCTAAAAGGGACTGAAATTAGGGTGGGGTAAAGTTATCCCCTCCCCCAGGCCCCGGGCTACTGTACCATACAGGCCCGATTACCTACCGGGCAGTTAAAGGTGTAGAATATCACGTAAAGTGTTGTTTTTGTGACAATTAGCAATGAAATTTATAATTAAACTCCGCAGCAGTTCTGTTATATATTAAATTATGGGTGGGGAACACCATTTACTGCCAATAAAGTTAGAATTGTTAATTTGGTTAGAAAGGCCAAACCTCAGGAGAGTCACGTGCTCGGGTCTCGTTGCTGTGGCAACTGTTTTCAACGGCACGTGATGCATTTTAGTCAGACCTGGGCTTTACTTTTAAAATAGATAATTCATCCATTTTCCATTAATTTCCATCCATGCAATTTAAGTCGTTCGGCTGCATTAATTAATTAATTCGTCCAAATTTGATGCATCTTTAAAATAGCTCTACAATCTGTAGTGCTAATTAAATCTGGTTTTAGACCGAATCGGCTGTGGTTAAGTGGGTGGTGGTTAAATTGTTGGGATGTTTTATAAAACTTAAAACAACTTTGCCGGCACGTATTTGAGTATTTGGTATGTCAAGCTTATGTGGTGGCATAGAAATTTAGTACTCACGACAAGACTGATCATCAAATGTTTCTGAACTTCAACCAAGAGCCAAGAACTTAACTTTGGCGATCAACAAATTAACCATTCAAAATATGTTTCCAATCATGAAGTTAAATAAATTATTAACCTAATTTATTTCCAGTGGAAGCCCCGATGTGCAGGCGACATGGTAATCACCTCTTAGAATTCCTCAACAAACCCCACCAGGTTAGTGACCATTTGAACGAGTAAAATCTTAGAATTAATAAATAAAATCGTTGATGATCACTTAATCAACATTTAGTTACTGATTAGTTGTATTTTTGTGATACATTCAAGTAATAATATATTCTCCTCAGATGATCGTTACTGGAATTGACTCTAAATTCCATGCATTCGCCGAGAAATATATCAAACAAGACCCTTCATTGAAGAGCAAAGACTTCTGGCTCTTCGAGTAAGCAAGCTTCAGAATTTCTTAGCCTATTTTACAATCTTTGATTTTAACCGCATGTTTTTGATAATTTATCAGTTATTGATACCGTGTCCAAATAGTGAAATTGTTCCCGCTCCTCCGATCCCTGTAAATCCTGTGGTCCCAACTGTGGTCCCAACTGTGGAACCCGAGAGTGAAAGCGAAACTGAAACCGATCCAACTGAGAGTGGAACAGAGAATGGTGATGACATAAAGGGAGAAACTGAAAGTGATGTTGACCCAGATGGCAGTGGGGAGATCGCTCTGGCAAAGTTGTTAGGGTTAATGTTCCAAGCGGCGGGAGGGTCATTTGACACTATAGAGTAAGGACCAGGCTGGATATTCTGAATCTCTACCATACAACCCTCGAGTGCTTCTTTAATGACAATTCTTGTGAAAAATTCTTCCTGAGTTTCGCGTTCTTCAGAGTTATTCATTGAACGATCTGTTCCTACTTTATGCTCTTTTGTAGTAAGTTAGTACCAGTTACTACCAGTTACTACCAGTTACTACTAGTTACTACTGCTAGTAACACAGCTGTGCCTCAACTCTCCTTCTCGAAAAACGTCATTTCACTTGAAGATGAGTTTATCATGGAAAACTACCATTGAAGGACTGGCTAAACTTAAACCCTGTAATACCAGAAGCTGTATACATAGAATCTCAATTCTCATTCAATAGTCTCTTTCCCTGCTACTTCTTTTTACGCTCTAATTAAATGATAATAAACCCATTTTATTTGCAGCTTATTCTGAAAGTTTCGTCACTTTATCACAACAACAGACGATTTTAAATCGAACATTCCATTCTAATATGCTGCATTTTTCAGAGAGACCGACAGTGTAAACGAAGCCAGATTAAAGAGACGATTGGATAGCGACGACAACTGTAAGTATTTTTCAAATAATTTTACCGAGTTTTGCCTTCACTTCACTTTCGCTTAACTGCAGGCTCCGGGTCATTTTATCATTCACTTAAACCGACGGAATCTTATCTTAACCCTTTTTTTACATACATTTTATACATTTCAACCCGTTGTTAATCACGACAATGACGTTAATCCATCCTTTTTCTCAGCTCAAACGAAAATGTTGAATAGTAAATTTCGTAAGTCCACGGCAGAACACGATAGATTAACACGCCCTCATTTATTATTGAGATTACTGAAGCCCTTCTTTTAGAACCATAAAGCCTCAACTCTTTCATCTTTTTGCCCTGCGATTGGGTACAAAAGATAACAACTTGTGGGAACCATTTACTCAATTTAACTCCGGAAAATGTAACTGATAGTTCAATAATACCGAACTTACAACGAGCAATCGACATCTCATAAATATGATATAAACTATCATAACGCATGTCACCTTTAACACTTCATTTCTCGATTTTTAGCCCAAAATACAGAAATATTTCTTTAAAATTTAAATCCCGCCCAAGATTGGTGTTGTGGTTATAAATATAAAGTCCTTTTTTGAACATCAGTTTTGAGAGATTCTCTTAATCTTCATTCTCCTTGCACAAGTACCCAAAAATATAATATTTAATTTAATTTAGTATTTTACTAATTATCTAATTAATAGTAGCTCTTCCTGCAGACAACTACAGACTGTGCAAGAGCGACCCTGTGGTTGAGCGAAGATTCGACAAGTTCCCATTTATCAAGATCAGCTGGACTTGCAAGAAGAACACTCGACTAGTCAAAAATGTAAGTATTTTACAGCTGTAAATTCTGTATTTAGCTACTTTTTATCTTTTCTTTTAAAATGAAGCAATAAAATGTATAATTAATATGTACTGCTTTGCCGAGATATTGCGACACTGATAAAGTTACATGACATAACCAATAACCAACACTTAATCAGCACCTCATTACCAAACATATAAACAGTTAAACTCGTTTAAAAACCCTGTTTAAAACCTAACCGATAACGGCGGTCGAAAACTTAAAACCCTCAATATAATGATAATATCGCTTATCTCATCACTCCCTTCCTTCAGCTTGATTTCGAGTGTATACCCGTCCAAGAGGAACGGCCCATTCTGAAAATCTCACACGGTTGCCTGACCTTCAACACGGCTGCTGACGAAAGCTGGGAACACAGCACCGAACTGGTTAACACCGGATGCCAGGCTATCCTAAAGCTTAAAGAAGTCCGGCCCTGATGATGCAGAACTGCTCGTATATTTTTGCGGGTTTCGTGTTATTTTGCGGTGTATCGCATGGTAAAACCCGCGGCTGTATATTTTCGGGGACAGATCTTTTTTCGGGTACGGACTGATATTTTAACCTTGGCATGGGCTGGTTGACTCGCCTGGTGCGGAGATGTACGGCTTTCAAAGTCTTCTCCTTTAAACGTACGGGATGGTGAAATTTTACCGCTTTCTGTCCCAAAGAAGCGGTAAAATGGGTCACCTTGTCTTTCACTTGAAGGGTAAACCTTCACCTAGTGGTAAAAGTTTACTTCTTCTCACAACAGTTCAAAAACTTGATTGACACCCAGTTTATGGGGGAGCCTTTGGGGGCCGGCAAAGTTATTACATGCTTTTCAGTTTTTGAGTTATATTTGTTATTTATTTTATTTAATCCGGTTTAATCGTATACAGTATTGTGTCAGAATTCCCGCCAGAGTTCCTGATTTTATGTATAATAATTAATTAATTATAATTAGTTAATTAATTATGACAAGGGACAGTATCCCCCCCTGTGAGTGAGTGTGTGAGCGTTAACGTGTGTGATCTTTTGTTTGAGATTTTTTCTTTTTCACGTTGTCACGTTTCCTCGAATTCCCAACAATGCCGCTACAGTCGATACAATCCTCGTGATCCTGTCTGTGTAAAAAGGGAGGAAACGTGGCCCGTGAGTGTGAAAGGTATTGATTAATTAATTAATTAATTAATAAGTGAGAGCGAAAGGTATTTTCTGGTTCCGTGGTAATGATTTTGCCTTCGTTTCATGGACGTTCCGCGACCGATTGTAATGTGGCTACTGGCAGCGAGGCGATGCACGTGACCCATGACACGTGACGCTGATATTGTATCTGATTGGTTACTTAGTTACAAAGCGGTTACTTAGTTACAAAGCGGTTACTTAGTTACAAAGCGGTTACGTGCCAGGATCACAACATCGCCTCCCAACCAGTAGCCACATACTCTACCCTACCGATATGTGAAAGCTCCTGTTTGATTAAGTTTGTTGTTATTTCATTATTTTCTGAGAGTTCTTAGAGCCCCTGTATCAGACAGACTTGGGAGAAGACTTGTACATTTTGCTGCAGATGATGATATATGCAGATGATATACAGATTTATGCAGATAGATTTATGCAGAAATTACTGTTTTTAGACCTGTCTCATTGTGTTTCGGGGTTAGATTATGAAGTTAGTGATTTTAGTTATAGCCTTATTTGGATCCGATCTCTCTCGCAAAAGTGTTAATCTTGGATTTTCGAAACGGTTCCGTACTTGCATGAATTATTTTGGGAACTTTTAATTTTCTTGAAGGTACATTTTGGCCCCTTTTCTCAAAACAATTTCAACATGAAAACCATAGTTTTTTTGTGGGCTAAAATGTAGCTTAGAACAGTAATAGGTATCCTTCTAACACTTGATTTTCAGCAAAAATACATAGCAAATAGATTCTAATTACTTCTTTCTATCCTAGCAAACCATTTTCATCCTTTCGAAAAATTTTTATCTAACAGACATTGGTTGATTAAATTAAATAATTTTATTTAATTTCTAGATATTGCATTGTTTCCCTGTTATATTTTACCCTGTTATAATTTATGATTGCTAAGACTATTTATATACTGTAAATTTATAATATGACTGCCCTCCACGTTGCTCAAATGAACTCTTTTACTTCTTCACTAACAACATAAAACAAGTATAAAATTATAAAATGTAAACTAAACATTTATAGAAAAATATTAATAAAAACAAAATTTCACAAAATTTATGACTTAATACTTAATAGGGCACATAAACCGATGTCCCAAAATTTCCGGATTCATCAGCTCATATAATTGGAACTCCAATCAGTGTATCTTGTTAACTTTTAAACGAAAACTGCACCCAAATCTTTACTGAAAATTATAATAATAATAATGATATTGACATTAAAAGTAAAGATACAATAAATATTGTAATAGACAATATTAGATTTGGTTGGAGAGGCGATTCATACACAGTTTAGGCTCTTGAATTCTTCGAATAAAATATCATCTTTGGAGAACCTCCTGAATGGAATTAAGTTAGACTCATACTTAGGTGGAACAAAACAGCCTTAAACACAAAAATCCCAAAATTTACGTGAAAATTAATATGAATGGAAATCTTTTATTGTCATCAAAAATTGCTAACATATTGATAACGTAATATGTGAACGACCCCTTAATCCTTATTATAGTTGAAATTGATTTATACAGGAAATATTGAAACCCATGCCAATTTTATATCACATTGAAATACTGTTGCAGGTTGGGGCAGGAAAAGTGAATTTCGTCACATTTTGGTAATTAAAATTAAACTCAGCATTGTTAAACTTGAGTTCTGATTTGCTGAACAATATAACCTACCAATAATTCCTGGAAGAATATTGAATTCTAATTGAGGTACAAGGTATGGTTCTTCAAAATAAGGTCAAGAAATGTAAATTTCGCCACATACGTCATTGTAAAAGTTAGATGCATTGTTTCCAAATTTAACCTATTTACGATTTTGTGACAATGTTAACATCAACTGCCCTTAATTTGAATCAACTGTATCCGTGTATCATCCTTATATAGAGTTTTCCCGCCGTCCAAACCAAAATCAGATATAAATGATTTCGGCAAGTCGCCCAAAATTTCAAATTCCATATAATGTGACAGAATTTACATCATTTCCCAATAACCAAGTGCCTGTTTTTGCTAACTTTTCAAAACAAAATATTTTAGGCCTACGATTGGTCGAAGAACAATCAAATAATGAGTTGAAAGGGTTTTGAGGACACCTCACAGTAGAAAAGAGGTATCGTATTCTGAGTGTCAAAGTTTACGAAATATTGCCTTAAAACCGTTCGATCCCTGCCCTTTAACCAATGTTTTATCATAATTGTTAGATTGACCTAATGATTAGGTCATAATCTACTATATTTTAGAATATATAATGCTAATTGGGCAGCTATATGGTTAACAAATAACACAGTCACAAAAATGTGACATTTTTTCATGATAGTGCCTAACAACAATACATTTTATTTCTGAGCAGTGCATATATGGGAGTATGGGTCACGTGGCTAATGTTCACAACTTCTGAACACGTTAAATTAATAGATGCTAAAATTATGCCACTTATATCGTCGGAACTCGAAAACGCTATTTTTTTGGTTATATCCTCAAACTTCAATGAACTGACTTAGTGTAAGACTTATCACTATCAGCATCAAATTTAAATTTGCTCCTGTGTCCATTAAAATGTTGTCCATTAAAACGTTGTCTGACCAAAATATGTGCTCTCTCCTAAGTTACTAACTGCACAAATACTACACTGAGCAACATAATAACATATATATCACATTATTGTCTCTACAGTTCAAACTCATGTCCAAAATAACTTCTTTTCTTCGAATTCATAGTCTTATCAGTTAATTGCTTTTGCGTCGGTTTAAACAGCTCTCACTGTGTAGCAGATAATATACTCGTGTATATTAAACTGGCCCTGCGTGTACATTGTACATCATGGTTAACAAATACTTGGAGAATCTTGACAATGAAATAGCGATGAATTACTCTACACTCAAATTCAGATCAATGTATGCTGAACAGATTTTGGGTGCTCAGATTATGCTATAACTCAACGATATGCGTCAAGCGGCAGGTGTTCAGAAATCCAATGTGTTACGTAAAGAAACGCTCAACAAGCCTCAGATCACCAAGGCTATACTGTGTGATTGGATGGAAACTTTTATCGACATTCTCGACAGTTATTGTTCACCGCTGTTGTTTTCAGCCACCAAACTACAAGATGAAATCGACCAACTGAAGGACGAAAAGATTGCAGATCAGAACACTGTGATTAAACTGCAAGGACAATTGCTTGAGAAGAAAAGTGAAGATTTGACCTCTGTTCAGACGACAGTGAAAAGCGAACTCAAAGCCTGGTCGTCAGTTGTGAAGAATTCATGCAGCAAGGCGCTAGCGCCTAAGAAAATGAAAGCTGCTCTGAAAAGTGCCTCCGAGGAAGAGGATCGTAGTCAAAATCTGGTCATCTACGGTCTACCAGAATAGAGTGAAGAAATTCTGGAAAAGAGAGTGCTTGAGGTACTAGAAAACATAGATGAGAAACCTCGAATCGTTTCTTGCTGTAGGATGGGGAGAACTGTATCAGATGGAGGACCAGCCGTTAAACCTATCAAGTTCACTCTCAGCGGCTCAGATCATGTGCGGCGAGTGTTGAGCAAAGCTGAAGCGAGAAAACTAAGAGAAGTGGAGGGGTATGACTCAGTGTACATCAGCCCCGACCGATCAGCCGAGCAGAGAGCTGCCTTCAGGAAGTTAGTTCTTGAAGTTAAGCAGAAACGGGAATTGGAGCCTCAGCGAGTTCATGTTATATAAGGAACAATAAGATCGTAAGCTCCGAGAAGGACTGATGGGATATGATTTTTTATCATTATCAACATATTATTTGATTGATTTTAATTTACCAGGGACTAGGCTTGTGCGGTGTGGTTTCGACTACATTTTTACTGCGTTCTGGTTTCCCTTTGAAATTTACATACATCTGTCCCTTAGGGATCGCAATCAGTTATATTTTGATTTTATTTTGCGCCACATATTATATTGTATGTAAATTTTGAAAAGATTTTCATAAAAATTGACTATTACTTTCTTCATAGACAATATTGTCAATATTAATCATATTAATGCTTAATACAAAAAATACACACAAAAAAACTAGTTTACAGTGGAAAACTATTTTACAGTTATATATTTGTTGGAAATAAATTTGGTCGTCAAATTTTTATTGCGAATATAATCTTGATCTCAAAACATGTACGAAATCTAAAAATTGAGTAAGATCGAACTCGAATCGTAGTGAGACATGAACGACTTGACCGTATATAGTATACTTATAGTAGTCTTGGTCATTGGTCCTCCGTTCGGTGACTGGACCATGTCACCATTGTAACAATACAAGGGCCGCGTTCGGACATATGCATTTGCGAATTAAGAGCTTGACTTGAACGATCGATACGAATGCGCGCAATGAAATAATGTACGTACGTGCGCGCTGTCAACGTGAATACGAAACGTTTTAGTTTTATAACATAGTTATTGTTTGGCGTTTGCGTTCAGAAGATGAATCCGAGTTCGTGGAAACATTTGTGACAAGATTAAAAACATATTTTTGGCTGTATATGTCCGTAAACTGAGTTGGATTTGCCCTGGTATGATACAGTGTCATGAGTACTAACATTTTAAGCCTCCTGTGAAATATTTCCCTGATTCATGGAATGAATGAAATGAACATAAAATGAACATTGTCTCAGAATCGCCTGAAATGAGCTGAAACCGATTGGGATCGATTGGTAATGATACCAGAAGTGTCCCTGAGAAGTTTGGTGGGTCTAGCATGTAACGAAAGGGCTCTAGGGACTAGGGCAATGTTTCCAAATTGGTTCCAAAGTAGTTGAGATCGTGGAAACATTTGTGACCGATTTGGAAACATGCTCTTGTAGCTGTAATTCTGCCTGGACTGACTTGAAATCGATCTGGCATGGTAGAGGGACATGTGTACTATCATTTCTAACCACTCGGAAGTGCAAAATATTGCCCAGGTTCATGGAGTGAACGAAATGAACAAAAATGAACATCATCCTAGAATCGCCTTAAATGAGCTGAAACCGATTGGGATCGATTGGTAATGATACCAGAAGTGTCCCTGAGAAGTTTGGTGGGTCTAGCATGTTACGAAAGGGCTCTATGGCAATGTTTCCATTTTGGTTCCAGAGTAGTTGAGATCGTGGAAACATTTGTGACCGATTTGGAAACATGCCCTTGTAGCCGTAATTCTGCCTGAACTGACTTGGAATCGATCTGGCATGGTAGAGGGACATGTGTACTATCATTTCTAACCACTCAGAAGTGCAAAATATTGCCCAGGTTCATGGAGTGAACGAAATGAACAAAAAATGAACATCATCCTAGAATCGCCTGAAATGAGCTGAAACCGATTGGGATCGATTGGTAATGATACCAGAAGTGTCCCTGAGAAGTTTGGTGGGTCTAGCATGTTACGAAAGGGCTCTAGGGCAATGTTTCCATTTTGGTTCCAGAGTAGTTGAGATCGTGGAAACATTTGTGACCGATTTGGAAACATGCCCTTGTAGCCGTAATTCTGCCTGAACTGACTTGGAATCGATCTGGCATGGTAGAGGGACATGTGTACTATCATTTCTAACCACTCAGAAGTGCAAAATATTGCCCAGGTTCATGGAGTGAACGAAATGAACAAAAAATGAACATCATCCTAGAATCGCCTTAAATGAGCTGAAACCGATTGGGATCGATTGGTAATGATACCAGAAGTGTCCCTGAGAAGTTTGGTGGGTCTAGCATGTTACGAAAGGGCTCTAGGGCAATGTTTCCATTTTGGTTCCAGAGTAGTTGAGATCGTGGAAACATTTGTGACCGATTTGGAAACATGCCCTTGTAGCCGTAATTCTGCCTGAACTGACTTGGAATCGATCTGGCATGGTAGAGGTACATGTGTACTATCATTTCTAACCACTCAGAAGTGCAAAATATTGCCCTGGTTTATGGAATGATCAATGAACGAAATGAACAAAAAATGAACATCATCTTAGA